TATATATACCTTGCTAAATTTGGAATGAAAAATGAGGAACAGAGTTTGCAAACAAGAAAATAAGTAAGGTAGATCTATCATCAACAGAATACAGAATACAGGAAAAAACATCCTTTAATCACAGGCAGCAAGACATCATTATCTTGGAGTTAAGGTTGCTAAGCAACTTAGCTAGTACAAAACCTACATTGCAAAACCGTTACTGTTAATGAACTATAGGTATGGTAATAGAGATTAAACTGATAACATTATTTCATGTAGACCCTCATCTGTACAAATCGGACAAGTTGTAGTATAAGTATGCAATCTCATTCCCAATTTTCGGTATATTTTGTTGAACCATGCAATAATACGGTATAGAAAATACAGTCTATAAGACAATGCATAACGGATGGTAGAATAAATACAAAGTGAGGTATTTGCAAGTATTTGCAAGACTTATTCGCACTTAGTAGACATCTTATGGCAAGTGCCTTACCTGAAGACTTCTTGTGCGCTTCTCCTTACTTCCATTCATAAAAGTCCCGTAGCTGTGGAATTTAAAGACCTTTTAGGAATTCCACGCTTTAGATCTAAATCCTACTTTTCAGTCCAGGTTCATCAGTTAGTTTGTCTTAGAGGCATAAAAATAACTGTGGAAAATATCAGCGGATAGATAAAGCAAGTACATGGTAATAAATCCCTTTAAAACATGCCGTGGACATACTGCATTTGAGCCGGTCATTACAAATTGTGATCCAGGTTTTTACTAAATAAGCATTTGATGTGAGAAGAGGCTGAATACACCAAAATGATGACTAGAGAAGTTCATGCTGTAGCTCTTATTTATAGTAAAATAAGTCAGGATATGTGAATCACAGAACAAGAGTGGGAGAGAAGGGAGATTACACTCAGATTTTACCTTTTCCAGGAGAGGCAGAAACTGAAATCCTCCTCACTCACATCAACACAAAATTCTGCCATTTCAGGACCTATCTCCCTGGCTGCCTTTTGCACTGCCCATTGCCCATCCATGGCCAGACAAAGCCTTTATTGTTTGGCACTGCCCACTGCCCATCCGTGGCCAGACAAAGCCTTCATTGTACCACATGCTCCTCCTGTTTCTGTTCTTTACCTACAGACTGTAGTCTAGGTATTCTAATCAGTCTTTGTGGGGAAATAAACCACATCCAAGCAGTGTTATCTAATGAAGGTTATGTCTTAAGCAGAGAATTCCAGAAGTCCAAACAATGGCATGTACATCTTCAAAATTGAACTGCTTTACCTGATGAAATACAGACATATTGGGTGAGTGTTCAGCTTCTTGGGCACTCTGTTATGCAGTTCAGACTATAGGGATAAATGTAATAAAAGTAAGAATGGATTTAAAGTTGATTAGGACTTGAGTTAAACAACCTTAATTCCCTTATACCTTTGAACCATCATGCCTGCAACAGTACTTACACTGTCTAACTGTAGGGCTATGACTACTTTCAAACTACGAGTTTCTGGCTCCGTATTGCCTCAGTACCCATCCTAAGGGCTTTTACTTCAACGTTTTTCCTCAGCTGCTCCACTGACCATAAAGCATCACAGCAAGACAGCGAGGGAAGACATTAAACCCCCAGTGACATATTTCTGCTGACTTCGGTAAACTTCGGATCAAGCAAATAACCATGCATCAAACTATGTTTTGATTAATGGGTTTCAGTGAGAACATATTTAATAAGCAAAGCTCGCAGAAAGAAAACATACATTCTTGTTTCTCTCAGCTATCTCTTAGTGGATGGAGCATGGAGTTAAGAGCACCTCGGCAGTGATCTTTCCTGTTGGTTACCAGCACATGACCTTGAACAAGAGAACTATGACACCAATTTCCCATATAAGAAGCACAGAAGAAGTCAAACCACAAACTGTCCAGGGAACATGGTCTGTCTTTATAGTAACTGAAACTGAATACAAGTCTTCTGCTTCCCAGATGAATGCCTAAGCAAACATTAGTCTTATCAACACAGGAACAGATCTCTCTTTAATGGGTATCAACTGTCTGGCCTCTTTGACCTATCCTCTTCAACCACACAGCTTTGAATAACTTGTTTGACTGCACCTCAGGCAGTTTGAACTCTCAGATTTCTTCAGCTTGAGTCTACCTTTCATTGGATGACACAGATCTGAATGCCCGTTTTTCTTCTTTTACTTCTGTGCTCAAAAAGTGACTATCAATCTCTTGTGATATTATTCACTCAAATGTAAGAACTTAGGTTAATTTGGACTAAAAATTTTCCAAACCCATGAGTGGAAATCATTTGTGTTAATAGCTGTAGACTGTCCCCTGTGGGTTCTTTTTTTTCTCCAGTACCATTTATAAACACTACTTATAACCAAGCTCATTGTTCCACCTTATTTAAGAGCTATTTAATATAATGGCTTTCCTGTTTTGCTCTCTCTATTCTCAGGGAAGGGAAGGAAACCCATGAAAAGAAGGAAAAAACTAGAATCATCATTTTGATAGCTCTGCAGTAATGAATAGTTATTGCTACCTCCAGACTAGCAGGTAAATGACCCATCTAGTGATTACCACATCTCTGGAGCTGATTGAACATGTGAAATCTGTGTGGTCCCTCAAGGGCACCTGCTTAACTTTCAGGCTGAAGGAGTTATCTTTCTCTGATCAGAACCTGCTCCTTCTCTTCCTCAGCAGGGTATTGACCTGAAGCCTCCTTGAAATCATGGTGATCATTCCCTGCTGTTACGAGCGCAATTCAGCACCCGCAGAACTCTTTCCTCAGAGGATAACAGACAAGTAGCTGATCACTGTCTCACTTTTGCAGAGCAAAACAAGTTTAGGACAAAAGCACTGGGGGAAAAGCAGATAAATGTCTATAAATGACTCATGTACATACTAATCAAACCAAGATTCATATCAACTTTGCCCACTCCACATATCAAATACACTTTGGATAGAGCAAGAATTTCTTTTCCAAAGTGAGGGCTCTCTCTCCACTCATTTTGCCTTTTTTTTTCTTCATTCTTAAGATAAAAGGAACAACTATTTGAGGCTGAACTGCATCCACAGAGTACCCTGGCAGCATCTCTGTTTGCTCTTCCCCATGAAGTTTGCATTCCAAAGGAGTGGGATACCACACCTGGCACAGTTTTGTACCTACCCAGTGACTGCATCCCACTACAGAGGAATTGATGCAAACTTGGATAGCACCAGGTAGAGAGAAAGCACGTGTTGGCCCTGCACCATTCGCCTCCTTCCCTTGTTCTTACAAGTCAGATATTCTCAATCTGCTTTCTGTGTGCCAACTTTTTTGTCCATAAAACAATTTCACCCACCTACATTTCATGTGATGCATCCCACAATCAGACACCTGCGGCAGCTGCTCCTCTTGGGTTCATCCTGCCAGAGCTCTAACACCGGATGCGCTTTCCCACTTCTCTGTGGCACTCCTTCATCATACATATCAAGGAACTGGATTAGCTCATAACTTCAGTTTCTACAACAAATCTGTCTTGTTCATCCAGGAACTACAGAGCTTGTACAGTGGCAATTCCCTGCTCCTCAGCTGCTCCACACTCCCATAGCATCTCATGTAGCAAGGCTTCTTGTGAAACCTCTGCCTGGCAGCCTGCTCCAGTCTCCTGCAAAGAACCTGAAAAACTCATTTATCTTCCTGTAATTCTTTCACAACATTTCCTGTAGTTTTACAGTAGACAAGATTAAAAAGAAACAAAATGCCATCACCAACAAGGAGTTTTGTACTAGGCAACAATTTAGGCTGCATTGTACAATAAAAAATTGTTAGAATGGCACTTGGTTACAGCTCTGCAAGAAACAGCGTGCCACGTTGCAGTTGTATTTAGATACTGTCACTCAACTATGAAGCTTCCACTGCCTTGGTCAAGAGCCCCTCAAGTGCTTCAACATGTTTTTCCTTTATACTTAACCATTATTTCAGAGTTGACACTGTGGAAAAGAAGTTCTGTTTCTTCCTCATTTAACATCCCAGCACCTTCTTTTAAACTGCACAGTTGTTGGCTTTTCCTCCTTCTGAACCTTCCCTCTCCGGCAGGATGATGGACTGCAAATGATACACGAATTATGCATTCAACTTCCCTCTTCCTCCATTTTAAAGGCTCTGAAGAACCGTTTCTTCCTTAAAAGAGAATTCATTACATAGATAAAATGAAAATCGATTAAATTTATCTCCAGGAATGTTTTACACATGGTACAGCACTATTTCCTTAGGTACGTGGAAGGAGCTTTGCTATAGTACCTGCAAGAGCTGTTGTAAATTCTTATCCTTCTAGTCTCACAATCATCCTTAATGTTTTTAATTCCAGGTGGTAGCTACCAAAAGACTTGGAATACACCAAAAAATGATGTTCCCTGGGTTTCACATCCGTTTCCATCACAGCCTTGATTTTTGGGTTCCCAACCTTCACAATTCTGTGATCATGTACATTTATGAGTCATTGCCTCCAGTTCTATGTCCAGTTTTCAGTAGCCCACACTGGAAATAATGCCAACATTTTTGAGATAAAGAACATTTTTATTCTAGACTCAACCTAAAACTTGAGGGTTTGATGTGGTTTTTTGTTTGCTTTATTGATTTTTTAATGAAACAGATGACTTACATAGAGAGAGAACTTGGATTTCATCACCAGTCAACTAACTCTCTTCCCATTCTTCATCAGAAATTCCAAGTGTGCCTATGAAATCTTCATATCAATGGATCAAATGGGTACACTTCTTCAAAAATCATTCTGTTTTGAGTAGTGGCGTATCCTAAGACAAAACCTTGCAGAGCTTCCACCAGATAAAGTCCGATGCATTTTGTGCCACTGTAGACTTGCATCTCAAGTTTCAACTGTGCACTCGTGCTTTCAGCCAAGAAATGAATCTGACTGTGGAACTCTGCAGCTTTAATAGCTTCAGTTTTGATTATACGTATACCTCATTTAGTCTTGCAAAGCATGAGAGAACTACATTTAAGTTTTCATAGAAATCAAGCTCAGGCAGCAAAGCCATAGCTCATGAGACCTGTACTGCTTCACCAAGGTTATAAGCAAAATCTGCTCAGCCATTTGAGTTATGAGTTCCCCAAATAATTTTTTCTCTACAAATGACTGTACCCTACATTAACGGTGAGAGTAGGTGTTAAGTTTTATCGTACAATTTAAAACCATACTATTGCAATTTATTGAGGAGCTGACTAAGCTTCCCGTGGGAACTGGTGATGAGCTCCGCTCTGCAAGTGGCAGATAGGTAGAGATAGTAGTAATGCTGACCCTGATGCTAATGTACTACCTAGAAGTTTCCCTAACTCACAAGATTATACTGCACTTAAGGAATTAGCCGTGTTGTACCTTATGTTGTATGTTTTTTCCTTTTAACTTTGTTTCTAAACTATGGTGAGCTTCGGAAGAAATTGTATTTGTAATAGCTGAAACCATATTTTACCCTTTGTAGTTTATATAATCAATTTCAGTTTTCCTATATCATTCTGTTCCTGCATTCAAATTTTATCCTTAATGCATCATCAGTAGAATGTCAAGTTTACATGAATGATGGCAAAATGAAAATATCTTATTTTGCAAACCAACAGTCTTGAAATAGTTCCATTAGTTCCATGTGGTGTAGTAAACACAGAGCTCCCAGAAACATCCAACATTTTGGTAAATATGATCATTATTTTACCTTCTTTTTGGCCTTATATCTGCAGCCATGTGAAGGGTAAATTTGGTCATTTCCAGTGTGAACCCTGCATCTGACTCTTTCCAACTTTTAATTCTTACCATTGCCTCAAAGAGGGCAAAACAGTGGAGGCTCTGTCTGCTTCTCTTATTTTTAGATCCAGCTCCTGTTGCAACATTAGCAAAACAGTCTTTCTGGTGATTTATTAGAGGTATCTTGTAGCTTTTCACATGTCACCAATACACACGGGTACACAGGAACAGGAGGCAGGCCAGTCATTCTGAATCATGCTACAACAATAGCAGTAAAGCCAAGGCATTATTTCCTTACAAAGAAATCTATCTGTGTATTTTCCTCCACCCCCCAGCATAACCCATTCTGTGCTGACTTGTTCAGGAATTTTGCCATTAGTAAGGAGTGATCTTACACAAAGATACTATTCTTGTTTTTCTGAACCATCCAATAATTACTAAAAGGAGAAATTAGGAGCATTGGAAATATTTTCTTGTGCAAGTTTATTCTAGTTACCCGACATGATTACACACAGTTTTATGTTTAACTGAAGATGGCTGTTTTGATGTCTCTGTTTTACTTTATACTGCTATTCATCTCAAGTATAGGTCTTTTATTAACAACTGCTGTTAGGTTAAAAAGACTGAAGATATACCAGTTAAAAAAGTTGAGCCTTTAACCACTAAGCTATGTATTGGCTAACAGAGGCTTTCAGGGATACTCTCAAGTATCTTGTTAGAATTCTTTGGGGCTGTGGGGAAAAAAGGGAGCAGTACAAAAGGAAACACTGGTTTGGGTGTGTATATGAATGTGTTTCAGCCCTCTGCTCTAACAGTGGTTCCTGAGTTTTGCTCAAGATCCTCACTGTCCTGCACAAAGAACGTTTAAGTGTTTTGCAAGTCATTAGGATTCATTGGAAGGTACTAGGCTTTTGGTTTCAAGTGTATTCCATTCAGATACATGGGTTCATTAAGCACTCAGGATATGAACTTGTTGGACACAAGTAAGGTGTTTGCACTATTACAAGAGGACGTTTTACACAAAAAGTCATGAGTGTGCTAACTTTGCTCGATAATGTACTTTCAAATCACATCTGATTATCCCCATTTACCTGCTGTGGTTCATATTATGGACCATTTTTGGTGTGCACTAACTAGACTAAGGCAAAACTAAACTGGAAGTGCACATCAAGCATTAATGGGTATTTTTTTCATGGAGTCTTCACCTTCATAACACATACAGTGAGTACCTTCAGTATACCACACCACTTGTTTGTTTCTGCAGATCCACATCTACTGCTAACACAGTAGACACTATTGCTAACACTATTTGCTAACACAGACACAGAACTGATAAGCTCACAGAACAACAGACTGTATTTTGAGGCTTCTTGGAGTGGAAGCTAATTCTTGTACTTGTTTCACTGTGCCCAGAATAATTAAGACTCCAATCTAAATGATAAGGATTTCTACTATTGCAATAACCATAAACCCTAGAAATATGGCAAAAAGATAAACTGCAAATCTGGAATCAAAGTAGGTTCTACTTCTCCAACTAAAGGGGGACTGAGGCTGCCAGACAGAATAAAAGGGATTGCTTTTCCTTCCCACTTCAGTGCTGTAGGAAAAGAAATCAGAATCAGAAGGTGAGTCTTTCTATTCCTACTGTCAGAAAAGAAGATGGAACAACCCCTGACTTACTAGGTCAGCACAGTTAGCAAGGCTTTTCAAAGTAACAAAGATGCAAGTACTTTCTTATGCCTAAGGTTTGCCCTCTCAAAAAGACATAAGTATAAATCATACACACATAAATATATATATTGATTACATTTTATACTTTGCTGAGCACTTTCGGAAATACTATCATCAGCTAGGCAGAGCAGGGAATGCATTTAAGTGATAATCCTTATGGATACTAAGGCATGTTTTCACAAAAAGTAATGCATCTCCCCTATATACCAATTTACTGCAACAAGCATATCAGGTTGCTGCTTTGTGTGGTTCTAGCAGAGTTAACCTGACCTTGTTCTTTAGAGATAAGTCTTTACAGCTGAAATATGTAACTGTTTTCATACGACCTCAAAGTCAGCCACTTATCACCTCCCACACTAAGCTATGGCTATTTTGTCATCATAAATCTCTGCTGAGTGGGGCTGCATGTGCAATAATCACTTCTTTCTTTTGTAAGAAATTACAGATGAAGAACCTCACGAGTTTTCTGCATTTTACTACTTTTCAATCCACATAAAACAAAATGAAAATGTACAATATTATCAAGACTGTTTCAGCTTTTGGGGGTGGGAGGAAAGACCATCTTACTTTAAAGAAAACTTCCTATTATTTCATAAAGACAGCCAAAATAGGGCACCATAATAATATGGCATTTGGAAAAAGTATGTATTGTTTTAAGGCTGATTTGATAAATACCCATAATTAAGGACTTCATAATGGCTTGCTCTAATGCAGCTGCTCAAGTAAATCAGAGTAGTATGATCCCTGCTCTTTATTCTGAGCAAATGCTGTAGCTCGAATCAAGGACGGGTGACAGAATGGTTTGACTGCCACTACATCACACCATGTAGGATGGAAAAAGGCACAAAAGAGGAAAGGGCAGAGCTGAGCAGAACAGAGCCAGCACAGATGCATAATGGGAAGTGTTTTCTTATACATGCAGTAGTAAACTAGCTGCCTTCTCACCTCTAGTTACCCTTAGAGCTGGGAAACTGAATTCCACTCTTAGAAATCACATAATAACTCGGTTTCAAACCAGATAAACTGAAGTTTGTGGCATTATTTTGCAAAGCAATCTGTCTCAGGTACAGATTAAGACAACTATTAACATACACTCAGTTTATACTGAAATCATACTTGAATCAAACTCAGAAATGCTGTATATTTGCCTACTACTTAACTCCAAAGATTCAGGACCAAGACCAAGTTACACTGAGCTTTTTGGTTATGAGACCACTGAGCTTATATCCCCCTACTTGAGGCATTAACAGGGGCACCTAGATCACGAATGCAGCTGCCCTGCATTGCCTTATGGTCAGCAAAGGCAGAGAGCTGCTGTCAAGGGTAATGCAGGTCTTAGGTGGGGATCAGATCTCTAGAACAACTAATCCCTCTCTTATTCCTATAGAGAGTCTTAATGGAAGAACCTTAGTTATGTCATTTATGTTAAATGGATTCATTTTAGATCTAGGACTCTGCAAGTTCATATGAAGAAATGTTTGGGTCCACATGATCAAATTTTAAAACATGCCGGAGAACTGGTTTTAAGTAATTCTCATAGATGGATTTAAGTAGTTAGTGAAATAAATAGAAATGTTATTTTGTTATCAAATAAAACTGAATCAATACATAAGCCCCTACCTAGATCTACATATTTTTCCTCTATTCCCTGAGGTCTACTGATATTTAAGTTTGCTGGTGTCCAGATAACCCATATCCAACAGAAATCTCTGAAGGAAGTCATTATTACCCAGAGACTGAAAGGGTAAAATAGGTAAAAAGAATTTTCTTTATATGGGATTCAAGTGGGAAAGAACAGAGCACATTTCATCTGTGATATTTCTGACTTTCCTGTCACATCTCTAAGGAAAAGATCCAGTTTTTGTATTGACCAGATGTTTCTGGAAGAAAACATCAGCGTCAGAGCAGCTCTTCTGTCCTAAAGAATTTCAGAAGAGCTGATGAAAAGGTGTCATTTCTTATGTTTTTAACATAATATTACAATATAATATTTGATCTGCAGTTAATTACTCAGGGAAACCATGTAATCCACTTAATGAGCAGAGTTAAATATAGAAGAAAGAAGTGCTATAATATATAATGATTTTTGGCAGCTGCTTATATTTAGGGAAACAATATATTCCATCCAAGAAGTTGAAGATTGAAAGAGGAAGCAAATTCCCACTGTATGCCTTAAGTCTGAAGTGCTATTCACCAGGGTACTAACAATCTTCAGAGCCAATAGCTCCAGATCTCATTAAACCATAGAAAACTTTATGCATATTAAAACAGTGACGTCTGGCTGATTGCTCAGATGTGCTGCAGAAGTGTAAAATCTCAGTTCTGCTCATAGTTTCCTGTCCAGCTTTAACAGAGTGTTTTTGAACTGGAAAGCTGCTCCAAGAACTTTCTGTACTGCATATTTTCTTTCTCAAATTAGTGAGATCAATCCACATTCAGTTTGGTACTGTGACCTGCAGGTATTCTGTCATCAAAGGATTTATTCTTGCATCAGTTCACAAAATAAGATACACTATAAAGCCTGAAGCATATTAAAAACAAAGGGCAGACAGTAGGTTTTCACATCCTCGGGTTGTACTACCATACTCTTCATTTATGTAATCATCATATATGATGATGAGTATTTGCTACCTCAAAGAATTGAAGGAACTCAAGCATAAAATCTGAGGGAAATAGGTAGAGGTTCCCTGTTAAATATACAGTATGCAGTTCAGTTAAAAACTATCTCAAGAAGAAACAGTTCTATAACCATCTACTTGATTCTTCATCCAAGTGTGCTATAATTTCATATCCATCCACTCTTGGGCAAGTTTTGACTCTGAAGGGCTAGAGTCTTATGAAGCAATCCTTAATCAATTCAACAGTGGAAGCTTTGCATTTAAGGCTGAAAGTAAGGTTCCCTTTTTAAAAAGAGAAAATAACTAATCCTTGCAAAGATCTGTGGTAGGTTCTTTGGTATTTGAGCTCTTAAATCAGGATTAGATATCTTTGGGGTCCTTTACTGAAGTCATTCAGACTGCTTTGGTGTTATGAATGATGCTCCTATGAAGTAGGCAAGGTCCTGAAGATGGATGTCAAGCCCCTGAAGTAGTCAAGACCTAGGCACAAAAATCTTTACCAATCAACATGAAAAACTCCAAGATATTTTCAAGCAAACATGACTCCACTGCAGCCTTCAAAAACTACTGGACTGTATTATATGAAGCTGCCAACATATGAAGCAGACAGATAATCCTTCAGTACTTCTTTACCTGTATCTTTAAATCAATCTGTAATAACAACTCCTACTCCTGGGCTTAAATTCTTCTTCTAGATAGTGAAATATCCACATGGAAGACAGAAACATGCCTTCTCATCTGCCCATTAAAACCAGACAGCTTTCCTCCTGATGCCTTTGCAAGTATTTAATCTGTGTGTTCCGACCTTTGTCTTAATAATTTGCATGTCAGGTTTCTCATTTTCATTATATTTTCATTAAAGCAATCAATTACAGAAGGTGTGGAAGAAAAGAAAATAACCTTTCAGACCAATGGGATAGAAAAAAACCTAACATAGGAAGGCAAAAAGATACAGACTTGCCAGGTCTCCTAGCAGTTGCCATGGTACTGTCTGACTTCTTGTCTACAATGGCTGGAGACTTGCTCTCTCAGGCAGGTACAAGCAGCCACAGAAGTCACTTTTCATCCTCTCTGGGAGAGGAAATTTATTGTCCCCTCAGCTCCTGGGCATCAAAACTCAACCTCGTTCACAATGCTGAGAAATACTGAGCTTACCCTGAATCCCACATACAGTGGAGTCACCCTACAGCCCTCATCACACTGACTCTCTCTCATTTTCAGCCTCATACAGAACCTGTTCCTGTGAACGTCTCTCCAAAACTTTTCCAGTGTTTTGTATAGCAAAGTAATTCCTGTTGCTTGACTAGTTCTAAACCTTTTGAATCTACAGCATTCACTTCCCTGAAATCTGACTTATCCAGGTGACTGGGAAAACATTGACAGTCCAAATCTTCATAACTTTTTAATCTTTTTGATGATTGCACTTATCAATCTATATAATGTCAAGGAAGAAAGAAGTAATAACTCCTCCTCCTCCAACTTAATCTCATTGACTAAACTGATAAAAGACAAGTTTCCTTTCCCTGCAGAGCCTTGAGAGGAGCTCTTTTGGTGTGCTCTATTTCACCTAAACGACATCACCTATTCTCAGCATTTCCAGAAGTCATTCTTGCCTTTGAGTAATCTAAATCTCTCCTGGCTGTACTCCCAGCTCCCATTTTTAGCAGTAGAATCGAACATGTGCCTTGTCACCTCCAGCTAACAACAACAAAAAAATGTTTCAAGTTTGTTAGATCTCTCTCCCTTTTGTCAAACTTACTTTCTTCCATCACCAGAACACTCAAACCTATTTCTCCTTCAGCTAAGCTATTGCTAAATCCTATCTGCTTGCCTTTCACGTTGCTCCCTGAATCCTTTTTCCACTCTCTCTGATCCTGAAGCCACAGTCGATACATTTGACATTACCCCTTTTCCTGCTTGTCCCCCTGTGTTCTTTGGTTTCTTGGGAATTCAGCTGCTAAAGACCCCCTGCCCTTGGCACTTGGTTTTGTCATTCCTTTATCTTTCACATCTTCAGGCTTTTCATTTTCAGCTTCAGAACTCTGCAGCTCTCACCTAAACTGTCATCTCAGGCTTTAGTTTAGCCTATGGTGCTGTCTGAGTTCTCCACTCCAAATACCCTGCTTCTGAGTCCTTTTCATAGTGTTCACTGTCAGTACTTCGACACCTTTATCCAATAATATCCTTCTGTTTGGAATAACCTCTATAGATTTTATGTTAAGATGTTTTTTCTTTCTTCATGTCTCTTCTATTGACTACAAATCATAGGATTCTTATCACAGAATGTGTAATTCTTTATGTACCTTCAGTTTATCACCAGATAAAAGGAAGAAAACTTTGCTAAGTTCTGCAGAAAAAATAGTTTTAAACCTTTTTCCTCAGAAATACTTTCTGAATTTGAAATCAGCAATTATCACTCCTATATTTGCAGAACAGATTAGATTATAGCTCATCACAGCAGGACTCAACCCACATTCAATTTGGTACGCATCAATGAATGTGGTTTAGGTCCTTCCATGAGTATGACGGGACCACGGTGAAGCTGAACATACCTAAAATTAACAAAGGAAAGAAGCAGCAATTGATATTGTGATTTTTTACAAGCTCCCAAATGAGAGAAAATTAAAAGGGGAGGATGAAGAGGCTACAACAGACAGGTACACAGAAATACATGTCATAAGGAAAGTCAGTTACGCCAGTCTTTTGGCTGTTTGGTTCTCTGGTGCTCCATGGACTACCCTCTCCCTTTGACAATTCTCACTTAGCATTTCCCTAAGGAATGAACTAAGCCCTGTAGAGTCAGCTTTAAATAAATTGAGCCAAGAGGGGATTGGATGGTTTCAGAATAGCCCCTGTACCATCAACAAAGTAAAATCTAGAAGAGTTGCCTTCCTCTAGGAACATGGGGAAAATAAGACACACCTTTAGTGTGTCTGAACCATCTGTCCCCTCACACTTTATATTAGTCCACCTCTAAGACCTGTTTGCAAGGACGGAAAAGTCACTTTAAAACATAAATATAATCCAAAAAAATATGAATTCAGAGTCATGCCCTGGGTACCATTTACAGAATTCTGTGTCTACCTACTATTCTGTGATGAAAGGGAATTCTCTGATTCCCCACTCCAGCTAGCCTTGTGGAGCTAATGTAACTATCATAAATGAGATGGGATTCCATCCACTTTTATTTCCACACCCACCGCGAGTTTTAAGTAGTTACACATAGGCAATCCCATGAAGGCAATGCAGCTTCCCTGGCATAGCTGCAAACACTACTAGTTTCATAATACTTTCATTTTTGGTGACAAGAGGAAGAGAAAATGCTACCTTGAGTCAAGTCACAAAACAAAGGCTTTGCCCTTAGAAGTCCTTCTGCTTTCAAACTGAATACACAACTGTAACAAACAAGCCGCCCTGGACAGCTTTCATTCCATCTGCAGGGGGGAAGATAGCAGCAACTTCTAAACCACTCTGCAAGCTTTGCACTTCAGGGCCTGAGTAACAAAGGGCAAACAGAAACTATGAGTAAAACCTATTGCTGAATTCTTTGTGCCTCCTGCTCTTCCTTTGCAGAGGCACACTCATCAGGACCCTGCTGTCTTACACTGGAACTTCCAGCCCTGTAACTATCTGGGACTGCTTAGAACAATGACATTGTTTATATACTGGCCATAAATGCCCATACATCTTCATTGTAGCTATAGCTTTTAATCCCTTTCAGAGTAGAATATTGTAATCACCAGCTTCAAAACACTGCAACAATTTCATGCAGCAAAGGAAAACACATATTGCCCATGGCAGGGGGTTGCAACTAGATGATCTTAAGGTCCTGTCCAACCCAAACCATCCTATGACTCTAACTCGGTTATCTGGAGATCAGAGTTCCAGACCTGTTCCAGCCAGGCTCACGTGTGACCCACTGTCAGATTAGACATGCAACTGTGCAACTGATTTCTGCATAAGTAATAAAAATACCTGAGCTCAATCCAGCTATAAGGTTACAATGACTAACCACGTTCTAGTTCCGTAGCCACACATCTTCCCTTTGTACCTTTTTTCTTCTATTTTCCAGTGAATTTGCCTTAGTCATACTGGGACACTTCTTGTATCTTGTATTTACTTTCCATGAGTGCTCAAATAGATGAGATTCCCTGACATAAATACCTGTGGAGAAGGAATGAATGTCAAGGTCTTATGCCAAAGCATTTGTGGCAACCTGACTTATCATTCAACTCAGAAATGATGTGCCCTCTTTCATGCAGTAAATGGAAAGAAACACACTGTTGTGATTTATTATCAAGTACCTCCAAGAAACACAGCTTGAAAATGAAAAACTAGCCAAGAGTTGCCTACAGTATATAAAGGGAAAGCAGGGCATGAAAAGGTGAAATGAAAAAACACATAGGGAAACCTAAATTATGAAATAAGGTTAAGATAGGACTTTTTACTTCTATTTTAACCTTGAGTTCATAATACCTTTAAATCTTTGTCACTAGTTTTAAATGTGAGCTTTAATATACAAGTTGTGAGCCACTTTTTTCCCCTTAGCTTCCCTCTCGAGTCCTTGGTTAAAGAGGCAGATCTCAACACTTATCAGACATGTTCATCTACTATAGCTGTGCAGAAGTTACATTACTCTTCCATCATAAGCTTCATTCTCCTATAGCAAATTTATACTGCACCGTTGAGTAAAATATAGCAGAACAGAGATTTTCATACTTTGTTTTATAAAGAATTGTGCTTTTTATGCCTTTTGATTAAAAAATCAAATAGGAATATAGTCAGCTGTATTAAACATAGGAGGACAAGCTGCAGAACAATGCAACAATAACTGCAAGTCTACACACTAAAAAAGCATAATCACATTCTGTATTTCTGCAAAGTACATTATAAAAGATGGAAGATACATGCTTTACTAAAATATAAACTGTATATTGCTCACAATACTGATATTAATGTCCTCATTACTGTTCAATTATTTTCTACTCATGTGTACCATTAATAAAAATATTGTCAGTTAACGGCACTGTACTGAAGTTTAAATTACTTTTTAAATGAAGTATGCTTAGGAAGTCTGTTCCACAAGAACATGGCTGAAAATATGATTGCTAGGAAAACACTAAGATCATATTGATGTAGGACTTCCAATGGGTGGCTGATGGGGGTCACGGTAGGTCCCTATTCTGAACACTGACTGCTGCACACATGTACTGCAGCATGCCGGGATTTGCACTGCAAATCTTGAGCTGTAACTTGTGTGCAACCCAAAAACTGTGAGAAAGACTCTACAGAAAAGCTCTGACCTAAGAAAGATGTACGAGCATAGATTATTTACTGTTCTCACCATTGCAACACCCAAGCATCTTTCTTAAGCAGCATCTCCTTAACATTCCATTCTCATTTCCACTTAGAAGTTTGTGTATGGGATTTAATTACTTTCCCCTCTTTAGTTCCAATTTCTCTGTTATGCAACAGAAACCTAGTGGAAAACATATTCAGCACATGTCTGTGCTGTGTAAGTACTATTTCAACAGATATTTACACTCATTACAGAGCACAAGTGTTCTACTTCCAATGGATGGTGAAAACCTGAGCTAAAAAGAAACCATAAAAGAGAAAGAAAAAGATCAAGTATTGGACTGCAGTAGAAATATTCTTCCAAACTACAATGTTACTTTACTTACCTGATCTTGCAGCCAGCTTCCAAACTTACCCATATGTCCGGTTTTAGAAACTTTGGGGGGAAACTGGGCTTTGCTTTGTGCTTACATCTATTTAATCAGTCCCAAAGCATTTTACAGAAGGAATACATACTTTAATTTCCACTTTAAGATCCTTACTGTTTAGCTACTACTGAAGAGAGATGCACTGGTTTACTGGATATGAATACACTCTAAAGAGATGTATTTAAAACTCTGACCTACCTTTTCGGTCACTGTCTCTGAACAAAAGACCTGAGTACACTTGTCTGCATAAGAATTTCTATTTTAGAAGAGTACAGCTCAGTGTGATGGAGGCCAGCAATGGTCTGCCTCATGCTTTTCTCCTCTTGCTGAGGGGTTCACACTGAGTTCAGGGACTGAAAGAAAATACACTTTAAAAAACTTTTAATACCCACTCTAAATACTATTTCTTAAATAAGCTAAAGATAGAAGACCCACAAAATAAACTGAGTCTAACCAGGAATGCATTGTTAATCTGGCACCAACATACATATCCAACATCACATACTTACAAAACTGAAAGATATTTTTCTATAACGTATGAAACTAACACATTTTAATAAAGTATTTTTCTAATGCCCTGAGTTAAATCCTAGAAATGTAAAAATACATCTTTTAATGGACCTACAAACAAGTAAACTGAACACTGCTTGTTTTGTTTGACAGTTTGCTAGACACAGAGTACATATAGGGGCCCACCAGGCCACAAAGGCAGGATCAGCCACACAATTCCATTTGCTTTGTTAGCTTTATACAGCAAAAGAGGAAGGCAGGAAAGTGTGCTGTTGAAAACTATGAGGAGGGACAAAGTGTGGTAGAGCACAAATCCTTAGCAAAGTCAGTGCCACACTAAACTGGCATTCTACTGCACAAGAACTAACTTGCTACTTCCATAGTTGGAGCTCTAATTTTATTCAGTCTACTTAATAGAATGATGCAATAGGAGTACTTTTAAAATGGATTCACTGTTTAAGTAATTAAAGCATTTCCATGATCGAGAGGCTTCTGACAGAAATCTTTCACATTCATCTCTTTTTCCACTAATGCCTGCTTGTGTAGGAGAGGTGAAAGAGTCCATCATGAAAACATACTTCAAAACACTTGGTTCTAATCTTCAAGCCTCAGGGTTTTTTGTTTGTTTATTCACCCTCTAGGGAACAGGCAAAGTAGAAGAAACTTCATGAAACACTACGTATGTGTTCTCATAGCCCATAATTTTTACCACTTCAGTCTTGGGGAGGTCACTGCAACTTATCTAGGTCTTTCTCAGCTTTCTTTACTGTACTGCATGAAAACAGTCACAAAGAGAATTTCACATCAAACAATTCAGCTGTAGAAAGAAGGGCAAAAATGTCTTTTGGATTCTATCAGGTGCCCCACACCTGGTTACATCCAATGAACTGTACAACTACTAGCAACTCTGCGCAGCAGCAGCTGCCTGAATCATGGTTTGAGAATCTATCAGCTGTAGGACTTGGCATCCCTTTCTCTCCTAAGTAGGATATTAAAATGTTTTTTTTTTTAATCTTTATCATGTATGTGTATAATCTTTATTAATGTATATACTACATTGAGAAAAACAGATCCAACTCTACTTATGAGGCTGCACATAGAGAACTGGCCTGATACAAGCCATACCCTGACATACATTACAATATAGTCATAATACCATGTCAAAAAAGGACAAAACCCTACTGCTAACTCAGGCAAAAAAAAACAGATTCTTTCTCTAAGGAACTTTCAACTCTATTGCCATCCCTGTTTGAGCCAACACTTAAAAATCTCCTTGTACTGAACAGATTGAATTCATATTTTACAGTAATGCATTTTGTCAAGGCAGCATCCAATGGAAGCAAGTTACTGTACGGGCTCTAACATAGCTTGCCACATCTCTGCTAGTGTTTTCAATGTCCACATAAGAAACTGCCCATTAAATTTACAGACCAATTTTATGCTAACTGTACTCATTACAGTCTGTGAGGAAACTAGGTAATTGGGCTGTTAGACTTCTATCTTTAGAAATAAATTAGAATTACTGTTTTGTTAGAATAATTTAAAATGTCTGACTGTGCCTGTTCTAAGCATCCATTAACAAACGCTACTCAACTTCCCACTGCATTAAACAGGCCATTTCTCTACACAAGACAAAGCAGCTAATCAGCTGGAGGTTGAAAATAAATATGCAGGGAGCAGGCATACAAACCACATTGGTAAAATACATTTGTCTTATGCCAAGATTCATTTGTAAACTCATTTCAAGTGTTACACTTACTAGGTCATGTTGATGTGTTTTTCAAGATGGTTAACAGCTTGAAAACAAATAATATTTACAATACAGTTAAATGGAGCACGTTATCCAAAAGCAGAACATGAAAAGGTAGATGTACAGAACATTTGTATGCTGCAGAGATCAGCACTCTAACATCCGAGATCCTTTCACAGCTAAGGGACTCTGACTTCCATGCTCAAGATCTCTGAAATGATGCCCAGTCTCTGTGTGACTGTTCAGAGATCTAGAAACCCACTCTAACAAAGCCAAGCTGCCCAGGAGAAAATACCAGAAACCAGTGCAGACAAAAGGTAACTTTGTATTTGTGAAGATACACGAACTCTGTACAGCAAAACTTCCCTGCGCTTATGAAGCCTTTGGGTTCATAAACCTGAATCCTTTCCCCTAAGTAAACCAACTAAGTCTACTCCAAACATATTTCAGAGGCCTATAAATAACCATACTATTAACTTTTAATTCTGTATCTTTGAAATACCTAACCAGAGAATTATAGAAGCTATCAATTAAATGCTATCTTCTGAGTAAGGGATAATTAATTCCTAGCTACCAAAAAGTACCAGCCACCATGCTGTAAAACATCCCAAATACAGATACACTCAATCCATTCAGTGTTCTAAGTTCCACTTTCCATTCAATAAAGATTTACTGAGGCAGAAGACAAAAACACACACACACACAAATTCTAAGCAACTATTTGGAAAGCTCATGTCTAAATAAAACAACACAGTTTAGTTTGTTTTGTGGAAGGTGGGAATCGAAGATCAATCACCCAAGCATCAAAAAAGGGCTCTATGTCTGTTGACTGAACAGTGCTGTGACAGCACCACAGCTCCTCCTGAGAACACCTTCTAAGTTGAGTCCTGCAGGCAAAATCACCTAAGGAATGCTTTGTTGGAGGTGTGACTAACAAATCCCTTGGGCAGTAGCTAAGTCTCTGCTGGTTTTTTGGAATTCCAGAAATAACTATAGGCAACTAAAGAAATTTACAGGCAAGAAAGTCAGGCACGGGCAGGATGCTATGCAAATGCACGTTACATGGATACTAAATTATGACTTTGGTTTTGTCCTGGGTTCAGCAGTAGCAGTCATTTTTCTCCTTAGTAGCTGGTGCAGTGCTGTGTTTTTGACTTTCGGCCTGGGAACAGCGCTGATAACACCGATGTTTTTAGTTGTTGCTCAGTAATGTCTACTCTGACCAAGGACTTTCTGAGCCTCATGCTCTGCCAGCGAGGAGGGGAAGCTGGGAGGAAGCAGAGACAGGACACCTGACCCAAACTGACCTAAGAGGTATTCCATACCACAGCACGTCATGCCCAGTATATAAACTGGGGGCAGTTACCCAGAAGGGTTAGATCACTGCTCTGGTCAGGCTGGGTATCAGTCAGCAGGTGGTGAACAGTTGCATTTTCTTCCCCCGTTATTTCCCCTATTATTATTATGGTGGCTTTGTGTTACACCTTAGTTACTGGGCTGCTCTTATCTCAACCCATACGAGTTAAATTCTTCCAATTATCCTCCCCATCTCTCTGGAAGCAAGGGGAGGAAGGGGGGGGGAGTGAGCAAGTGGCTGGTGGTTCTGAGTTACTGGCTGGGCTTAAATCATGACAGGTTTATATTTTAAACCTGGCTATCTATGAAATTCAACATCAATTTACCAACTAAATCTCACTACAGTCACTGCCTCAAACAGCAATACTGCTCTAAGATTGGTTGGGCATTCTGCTGTTGAGTCAGGAATAAAATCATCAAATTTAAAGTGGTGCTTTATGGGAATTACATTTTTAATTACAAAAGTGAAAGCAATGCTGATATTAGGGAATATCATTAGAAGTCACATACCAATTGTCAGTAAATTCAAATTAAAGCAGAGAATAATTCTAGCACTTCATAAATCTTCACAAACAGAAAAATAGAACATATAATAGAAAATAAGTGGGAAACCCGTAGCTTTTGGTAAGAATGGATGCTCCTGCCATTTAGGTGCTAAAACAGTATAGACTTGGTAGAGATGAGATGATCAAGAGCTAAAGGAGGGGCATCACATCCATCAGTCAGTGGCTCTCTTCAGGGAGAAAACAGCATACAGGAATTCCAGGATCAACAAAAACTTGAAGTTACTACTTACTAAACCTGTTACCCATTAGATTCCCTTAGTAAATTCTTTGTTTTGGACTGTATTTCCACAGAGTTAAGTAATTTTTTAATATTGGGGTACTTCACCTTAGAAGTTCAAGAGTAGAGCTTCAAACCATTTGAATTAACACATGCTGAAACAGCCACTCTTTAGGTTGTTCACTAGGTAAAAAAGGTGGTATTACATGTATCCAGTGGTGTCTCTGTCCTTGTAGTTTTGCCATCCATGAAAACAGGAATTTGATCAGAAATAGGGAATTCTTCATGGTACACACATTTATTCACAAGGGTAGTTTTATTCCTCATTTTCTTCATGTTCTCATACAAACTCTGGGTGCAGTATTAAAAGAACAAGTCAATGATGAGAAGTCACACAATGCATGTGCAGATCCCAACTTTAAGTTGCACTTCTACAAAGCATAAGGAATCCCTACAAAATGCAGGAAGAAAAATGCATTAATTTGGGTTCATTAATGCTGGAAAAGTGTGGCCTCTTTATTTCACAGATTAGCATTAGAAAACTGCTTTACTGTGATACAACTCTGGTCTATAATGAACACTTTGAGGACAAGTAAGATTTCCCAGTATTTGTCATTACTCCTCCAACATAAAGCTGCAAATATAAACATTATTTCTGAGAAGGACTTTGTCTCTTACTTTATCAATGTACTTTGTACCCAAAGGAACAGCTTCAAATTGTGGGGGAAATTAACATAGCCTTCTCTTGGCAGAAAAATAAAGCCTGGACATTGGCTGCTAACAGCTGATGAAATGTTTGTGAACAGAATACCCAAAACTCAGAGGGCATCTGCTCAAAATCTGGTAAGGCTGAAAATGAAGACAATCATCAGCCACATTAAACAGTAACCAGGCAGTTACCAAGAGACCTGTGGGGGGAAGGGAGTCAGCTTAAAATCAAGCATAAAAGGCAGTAACATTTCGAGCAGGGAGAAGAGAACAGCAGTCAAAATCTGGTCTGCCACCAAGAAGATGCCCTCCTGCACTGCAGGCTATGCGGAGGCCTGAGGGAGGACCCTGCCCAGCAGCCAGGAAGAGCCTGCATGCCTGCTCTGGGCCCACAGTACAGGGTGCAACCAGCACTGGCTGCTCCTGGGGTGTTTTTGCACCTCACCTTGTGGGCTGCTATGCCAGCAGGAGGGTGGACTACTGGACTGTAGGGTAACAGCACAGTTTACAGTGTCCACACCTTCAAAGAAGATGGATGTTAACAGGGTTTGGCTCTTTAACCCAAGCCTCCTGTTAATGGGACACAGGTGAGCACATAACCACCAACTCGTGGGAGAGATTGCTACAGAAGGGTGTTTAGATATCTCAAGCTGTTTACTAAGGTTTAGCTAAGGTAAAGCTCTAGTCCAGTCATTCATCTGTTACACTGCTGCCATTGATTGCGTATGCATGGTTCAAGGACTAACATTTAATTACAAACTATTAACAAATCAACAAAATGACTTAAGCCGTAAGTCATTTTGCCCTGCAACAAGTACATGCAATCTCTTCCATGCTTTCTACTCCACACTGATAAGCAGCCTCTAGCTGAAACTTTAGTGTTTCAGGTTTTTCTTTTTCTTCTCTTTTTCCTTCTCCTTCACCTGAGGGCACCTAAGATCAGGAAATCAATCAACTAGCTATACCTGACATATTTGCTTCAGTACTCCTAACCCAATGAAACTACTACAATAACTGTACTCCCCCCAAAATCAGCTCCAAAACCTGAAACAAAATAGATCACATCTTTGTAAAGTGAATATTAAGTTCTTGGATTAGAGAAGTGGAAATTCAAGAGGTTCAATATATATGCTAACTTTCTTAATGTGGCTTCTTGTGTTCTAATGAATGTAATCCACTAGATCAGACCTTGGCATCAGGAAATTCTAATTGAACACCACTGAAAGATTGGTGTGTTTCTCAACTGACAAAATTTAGGCCACTCTTCTAGAAAACACTGAAAAGAAGTGGCTATTTCTGGTTTTAGGCAGGGTAAAAAAGTTTAATTTCATTTGCTATGGTTCACTGCTGCACTTCTGCTGATGACATTTTTATAAATTAGAGGTAATCAAAAAGCTTTTCCCATGTTTTAACTTCACATCTTCTCAGCCTTTTGAAAGCATAAAGTCTGCAAAATCTAACACTTGGGTTCCAAAGTGTAGGGCCTCATTACTATCCCTATATCCTAAGCAGACTTGCAATCAAAGACACTGAAGAAGCATACTCATTGATCTGAGACTCAGAACCTTTCTGGAGGATCAAAAATCGTAATGTCCATTAAGTATAAACATATTTCTTTTAAACTTTATTTTAAATATGGGCTCCTAATTTTTTATTAGTCAAAATAATTCTCTCTCAAAATTCTTTTTTTCCATTCTTTTGAAATCAGAAGAAAAACATTCTATATTATGCATAAAGATTTCTAAAAGTAAGCTTACAAGAGACATTATGTCACCTTAGCAACTACTTTTTAGAAGTTACTTACTCTGCAAAAGCTGATTTTTAACACGCACTTCAGGGTTTAAACCGATTTCTAGATTAGCAACTGGCAACCACGTTCTTCATTATAATTTTAGAAAGTCATAAAGACTTAAATCTGAAAAAGAGAAATAAAATATAACAGTCTTGTGTGACAAAAACATCTGTTCATAGTGAATTGTTTTCAAAGCTATTCACTCAAGTGCTATACAAAGAAAGAGTCTACTGGAGATCAGAATAACCTAGAATTCCAAGAAGATATACTAGAGGAAAAAAAAAAATACCTGCAGTTAAAAGACACACATATAAGGCAGTTATCAACATGTAGTCAGCCAGGGAAATAAACACCTGACCTGCCAGTTGCATGTCCCCTAATTTCATAGAATCATAGGTTAGGGTTGGAAAGGACCTTAAGATCATCCAGTTCCAATCCCCTGCCATGGGCAGGGACACCTCACACAAAACCGCCTCACCCAAGGCTTTATCCAATCTGGCCTTGAACACTGCCAGGGATGAAGCACTCACAACCTCCCTGGACAACCTATTCCAGTGCCTCACTACCCTAACAGGAAAGAATTTCCTCCTTATATCCAATCTAAACTTCCCCTGTTTCAGTTTTAACCCATTACCCCTTGTCCTATCACTACAGTCCCTAATGAAGAGTCCCTCCCCAGCATCCCTATATGCCCCCTTCAGCTACTAGAAGGCTGCTGTGAGGTGCTCCAGTCCCCTGATCATTCTCGTGGCCCTCCTCTGGACTTGTTCCAACAGTTCCATGTCCTTTTTATGTTGAGGACACCAGAACTGTACACAATACTCCAAGTGAGATTAACCAACCTCACTTGGACCAACCAACTCACTTTCAACCAACACTGCCTCAATACCGTATTTATTTCTCCTCACTTCTACTCCCCAGCCATTTCCAAGTGAATGGAGCATCTAAATTTTCCCCCTCCTACTCCTGAGTGCTAGGAAAACTATTCTATTTCTCCCTGTTGACAAGGTTGTGGAGCAATGGTTATTCTCACGAGGGCCTGGACAACCCAGGATTAGAGCCGAGTGAGACAGCCTTGAACTCTCTCTGACTCAGCTGAGCCGAGGAGGCCTGGAGTCGAAGAAATGTAAGCAGAACGCCGAAACAGGAGCTTGCTGGCCACAAGGAATGCACCACTTATCGCAAGGCATGCACCCTGCTGTTGCAGACATATGTGTGTAAAACTTAGCTTAGCCAATAGCAATGTACAGACAGGCGCGTGGACAGGTTCATGTAGCCAATGAAAGATGTACAGCTGTCACGTAAACTATCACCAATGGTATAAATTAGGTGAGCCTGTGCAATAAATCAAACAAGAAGCATAACTCATATTGGGATTGTCTTCTTGATTCGGGTCGCTCCTCCAACACAAAGTACATTTCCCCATTAGCAAACCACATTCTCACTTACTTTACGTATTCCATCTGTGGAACACAGAATCAAAGAACTGTAAATCCTTCCTTCTGTCTCTTAGTTAAGAGTCCTTCGAACAAGTACAGTAGAAGCACTTTGACAATTAACATTTACTCAGCACATTCCATCTCCTCATCCCCCTAACGTATCTGAGTCATGACCAGCAGCTCAGGTGACTGGAAATTAACCTACTACGGCAAAAACGCGTAAGTCACAGTAATTTGACATGCAAATTCATCAAAACCTACATGTGAGAAACCAGAGAGCTCCTCTTTGAAGTAAGTGACTTTTATTTAAAGGCAGAGAAGATCTGCAGAGAAATGCAGTATCTTGTATTGACAACTGATGTATTGGGTTAGATTTAGTCTCAAGAAAAAGGGCTGCAGTTTATCAGATCACTTTCAGCCTCTCCCCCTTTTTCCACTTTTTGAAGGAAAATGCAGGATGAACTCGTTCCCCTTGAATAATTACAGGATCAGCTTATAAGCAAAACCAGGGCAGAATATTCCTACCCTCTTTATGATGTTTTGTCCCTTCTCTGCCCATTTCTAACTTCAAGTCAAAATAGATAGACTGATCGATAAAATAAACCCACAAATTGGGCCCTTCGATTGATTTTCTAACCAGCTGAGTAGTACATGAATGGTTTCCTTTTAAACAGCATTTCTGTAGTTTGAAAACTGAACACTGGTTAAGCAGCAAGAGGTAACTTTAGCATCTGTACTAGTCTTTGAATTATAATTCAATAACCCTTGACAGAACATGAAGGCTTCTGCCTACCTTTTCTATCTGGTCTGCGCCCCATCATTCTGTCAAACTCCACCTGCTGGATAATCTTAAAGCAAGCCTACAGAAGCTTTGGTTTCATCAGTATTGATGCAACACCTAGACACAATGATAAAACTGATTGAACAGCATACCTGATTATCTATTTTCCATGCTTTTTGTTTCTTACATTCTCTGTAAGTACTACAATCAGGTGAAAACCCTGGGTATTTTTTTCTGAGCACCTCAGGTTAATGGGCCATATTTGTAACTCGTATCAATTTCTGGTAATGCAGTTATATATGGGGAAAGTCATAGCTCATGAATGTCACAGCTAAGGAGAAAACAAAAAGTACACTTCACGCTTTTCAGCCTCTGATAGCAGAAAAGCAGAAAGTAATGCGTAAATGGAATTTTAAACTAACATTTAAAATATCACTTAATTTTTCAAATGCTATGAGATAAAAGAATAGGCAAAAAAAAGCCATGGAACTCAAAAAGGCATACCAACTCCTGAGAATGCCAGTTCCAAGCCAATTAACTCATGTGGTATGTACCCGTCCATCTGAGTGCTGGATGACTGTTCTGCTTGCTACTCCTTCCAGTAAATTAAGTCAAATCACAGTATGTACATTCTGTTAGAGCTAGATTGGAGCATCCAAGTTTCTTTACGGCTGAGCTCTACTATTCATGCACAGAAACGTTTCTAGCTTTGGGAGTGAAAAGGTCCTGGATTTGAGGGCTGTAGGTGATGTGCAGCAACCCAAGATACTTTTATCATACAGAGCTTACTTAACCACTCCCTTATACACAACTCAAACATTCAAATTCTAAACAGTAACTGATAGTAACTTCTTACCCATAATTTAAAACTCATAAAGCCCATAATAATTTAGATTTCTGTATTTGCAGGTATTTTCTCTTACCGAATGTCTTATAAGTACAACTCTTTATTACAATCTACCATCTTTTAGGAATGATTAAAAACACGCAGGGTAAAATACACTCAAGACTCGCAAATCATACCTGGCACAGTCTGTGATACTGAAATACTGGAAGAGGCATTACATTTGAGAACAGTAATTTAATCCAGACTCAGGAGAGCATTTATTCTTTGAATACTGCTCAAATATTTCTCTAGAACCAAGATATTAACATAATTTTACACAGCTGATGTTGTAGCATAGGCAATACAAAACAAAAAACTCCTGCTGTGTGCAGATAATCATCAGTTCAGAATGTTGTCACAAAATAAGCTCAACTGAAGACTATCTGCAATGAGAAGTTTTATAGCTGCTTCAAGACAACTATTATTTCTGATGAAAATCATTTTTTTTCTCTTGATACAAATCCACCTAATTTTGAGAGATCTCCAAATGAAACTGTTGCAGAACCTCTCTTGGCTGGTTTTGCCTAAGGAAAAAAGAAGAAAAAAAATAGGGCTGATTTTAAGTTACAATATTTTACAAAAAGCTTTTAAAGCATCAGTAATTAAAAAAAAATACCTTCAAATAAAGAATAGTTCAGTATCACATTACCTGTGATTCATGGAATTTCCAGCCAATCATGTAGAAGATCTGAAACGTGGCAGGTACTGAGCCATCACTATTTCCATACATTTCTGTTAGGGCAGGAAAGGAGGGAGTTAAAAAAAGGGAAACAGAGTATTAATTCTAAGAAATCCTTAGTTCTCAGAACATTAGAACCAAGAATGACATATTCATCATAATGACACTCAGTGAAAGATTTGGGACAATAAAAATATCTCATACTGGTGCACCCCATAGTTCAAATCCTGTCATGATAATTTAGGTTAAAAATACTTGTACAATTATGGCATTTTGTTCTACTCCAAAATGCTGTTGCCTTTCTTCCCCCCCTACAGAGAGGTCAGAAAAAGAGACAAAAAAAATATGTTCTTAAAGTAATTTCAGTAATTTATTACATCTCAAATACTTACCTTGGTATATTGCAGCAGCTGCTAACATTGTGTCCCTGTGTAGCAGAGGTTTTCTATTCCAAGAGCAATTACTCTCCCCCATACCTAAAAATATGTGTTAGCTTTAAGAAAAAGAAGATACAGTATATGCCATGAGTTAAGTGTCATGCACCTATGACAGACTTATACTAAACCAAAGTATAGAATCCTCTGAATATCACTGTAAGAGAGAATAAATTGCAAATAATTAGGTTAGTTTCTTACCTATAAGAATCCAAACCTTTTAATGCAAATGCTTTGCAATTTACAGTTTGCATTGTTAGGAATTATTCCAGATGATGACTTCTCCAGCCCAAGTCTACAATCAGGTTTTCTAGTATAAATTTATATATTCTAGTATATTTATAATTTTTAAGCACAAGTGTTTATTCAGACACCACCTATGCACCTTTTAGCAGATAAGCATCAAAATTGCCAGCCCATAAGATTTTCAACAACGAATGAAATAATCCTAATTCTAATCTCTTTAATCACTTCCTGCATCTGAATGTTTCTGAAGAGAATGGAAGTTTTATTTTCATTAAGGAACTACTGTAAACAGCAGCTGATCTAGATCCAAGAAGATACCCTAAGCTGTCCTGGAAGTTAACAACTAACTGCATATGAATGACTACTTTACAATCCATGACAAAGGCAATCACAACAGTAACTCAATTGTTAAGCATCTCAATTTTTGTTTGTCAGCAGACTCCAAGTTGAGGGTCTATTTATTCTCATTCCAGAGCAGTTTCCTGAATGTCCTGGTAATTAGGAACGCTCATAGGAAAAGTTGGTATGTGGGATACATGCTTCTGTGTCCCTTGCAGGGCTCTTCAGCAACTTACACTGAACAGGCTCTCAAAGAACGGGAATACAAGAGAAGCAGAAAATTGATAGCAGATCATGAAGTAGCAGATCTTTTAGCTTCTGCTTCCCAACACAAATCTACTGATAGGGATAATCTCCTGACTCACTGGAGAAAGGGCAAAAAAGGTAGTATTTCCACTGTAACAGTAAACTTTATTTAATATTTAGTTACATTTTTTAAGGAAGAAGTTTCTTATGATGAGGGTGGTAAAACACTGGCACAAGTTGCCCAGAGAAGCTGTGGATGCTCCATCCCTGGCAGTGTTCAAGGTCAGGTTGGACAGGGCTCTGAGCAACCTGACCTAGTTGAAGATGTCCCTGCTCACAGAGGGGGGTAGAGGACTAGATGACCTTTAAAGGTCATCTAAACAGATTACTTTATTTAGAGGATCTATTCTGTGATTTGGACTTAAGAAACACACAGTGAAACTCTTCTATGTCTGCATCACTGCTAAAGAAAACATTTTTGTTTTCACAAAGAATATACTTGCCTTGCAAGTCTTCCATAACTTCAAACAACCCTGGGTAGTTGACTTGAATTTCATCAGTATCCTAAAAAAATTGAGAAGCTTAGTTTTAAGAGCATATCAAGCTAAAACAGTCTCATTATGTTACCCTTCAGTGCTGCTACCTGCCACTTCTGCTCAAACCATTTATTTCTCAGAAGAATACACTGTCTTAACATTTCTAAAAGTTGTTTAGTAGCCCAAAGGCAATCAATTTTTTAATTGAAATGCCATTATTTTCTTCTTGGTTTTAGAGGAAACAGCAGAAGTGTCCAAAGGCTTTTCAAGCAGGTCTAACATTTACTGACATTTCTCCAAGATCATCATCCAAATTCTACTGGGCCACCAGCCAATGATCCACTTCAGTTGGTTTCATTAATCATG